ATACGAAGGGCGTAGGAGGAAAAGTTTGTCATCTTACTATTCCCACCCCCCTTCCGACCTCCGCATATTAGTCATGCAATCCGCGCGGGTCGGCCCGGACCTCTCTTCAAGCCGTCTATGGCGTGGAATTCCGGATCAGCATCATATGTTGATTCTAGATAGGGCTAATTATAGATTTACGCCTGATTGGGTGCGGAGTTCCTTCAAGCACAATCATTAACGATCTCGTTTATCCCCGTTTTCCAACTACTGCAAACCGTCCAGCGGTGCCTGATTATCTTGTACCGGACTAACTCGCAGAAGCTGTACCTGAGCTCCCTCTTTTCTTATTCTCCAAGACAGGGCACGCGGACCAAGGATTCACAAACGTCTCAGCGAGCTGCTTCGTAAACATCACACCACCAGTTAGCTATGGCCTTGCTATGTCAATTAAGATGAGGCTTGCCGCCAAAGATGGTTTTAGGGGGCGCCACAGCTAAAACCAACCGCGAATCCTTCCCAGCCTCGAATAACAAATTGTTCGTAGCGAACGATTGCATCAGCATTACGCGAGGACGGCAAAAAAGAAAAAGAAAAAACAGAAGTAAAAGAAAGCACATGGCGTTCAAATTAAATGGATCAACAAGGATATCAAAGATAAAGTGCGTATGAAATGACATTATTCTACATAGAAGAGTTACACATTATTGTAAACACATTGGATATCAAAGATTATATCGTAAGCTCCAAACTCCTTCCAGCGCAAATTCAAGCCCCCATGGCATCATATTCCCTTAACATCTCCTTCATGAGAAGATCCACCCACGAGATCTTCTCCTTGACCGCCGCGATCTGTGAAGTTATGGTACCGCGCCACGACATGAGCTCACCAATTCGCCTCATGGCACTCGCGGCGCTCATCCCTGAATATCTGGGGCAAATTATGGCCCACTCGCATTGTCCGATCTTCGCCGTACAGTCGGCCAACTTGCGCTGCAGGGACTCGAGCTCGCGCAGATCCGCAAGCTGCTGGCCGACGAGCTCGGCACGCGGCGCGCCGGGAAGACACATTTGCGGGCCGATGTCGGCCCCGATAATGGCGGCAAGGCGGTTGTACAGCGCCTCGGTGTGCTCGGCCAAGTTCATGCGCTCGTCGAACTCGCCGTTTAGGTCCGACGGCGTGTGTATTTGCTGGGCGACGTCCCAGGTCGATTCGAGGCGTCGTTCGCGTTCGATGGCGGCTTGAAGCTCGTGACCCAGGTAGATCTCGTCTTCGGCTCGCTCGATTTGGCCCAGCGTGACCAGATGTTCGGGGCTGACTGGTGCCTGCTTCTTGTCCCTGGAGCGCCGCGTGAATATGTGGGCCAGTCGACGTCCGAGGCTGGCGATCGAGGCGGATGACTGGGGCGCAGTAGCGCGGCATCCCGGGGGTGATAGTAAGCTTTCGTAGCTCGGGAGCTCCGAGTCTACGGGTCGAGTGTGAGTATTAGCCAGGAGTCCCTCCTGGCTGCTGTTGAGCAGCCGGTAGGCACTACATATAACACGGGAGTCAATACCGTCCACTAATAATGAAAATCATAGGAGGGTTCGGAAGCTTGTAGGAGTAGCGAGAGAAAGCGTGACTTACCATGCCCGGTGGGAGGAACTGCCTACATGAGTGAAGAGTTGAAGGAATTGCATTTTGGGTAAATGCAATACTGATGATAGTTGATGAAAAGAAATTGAATAATGGATAGTTGATGATCGATGAGTAATAAGCAAATATTAAACTGTGAAGTAAGAGAAAGAAACAGAGAGACAGAAAGGAGATGGGGTGCATTCTTATAATAAACATAGAACATACACAATGTGTGGCCATTTCCTGTATATTCCCAATCCAGCAATAATGAACTTCCCATTTTCCAAACCCAGATGTAGAAACCTTGTTTATTTAAGGTTCGATAGCATGCACATTGTAGACGCGGCTATGTGAGCCAGGAGGTCGCATGAAGCAAAGCGAAAGTTTAATATCTGGCCAACAACAAAGATGAATTTGTCCATGCTAACATTACAATTGACAGCACAAAATAGACTTATTCGGTAGTAAAAAATAAGTTGAATAGGTAAATGATTATTGGAAGCAAACACTTAAACGCCGGTCATGAATTTGGGCCTGATGCGTGATGACCGTTCAAACCTATGTCTTCTATCTGCCCAAGTGAAGTTCACATGGGAATACCCTACAAACGCAGGGTGTTTTTCATAGTGGGAGTACGTCGTCCGATAAAAAAAGCTTAATTGTTGCTCAGCTACCAGACCGAACGCCGGCTCGGCAGTATGCTACCGGACCGACCCGTTACTATGTACACGTTGGCATGAAGCCCGCATCTACTAGCCTGATTATATGCGTAAGGACCCTGCTTCAGAGATGCTTCATCGCCATGGGACCCCGCGCATAGTTTTGCACAAAAACTATCTCTACCCGCCATGAACCAATCACGGCACGGGCTTAAATTTTGTTCAGGTACTCAAAAGACTTAACATTTTGTAATGGGAATCCTGTCTCCTGCTTAACAGCAAGACCAAATCTTATCCTAAAGTATGCTGAGGACCGAGCCTTGAAAGTCTAAAGTTCTTCGCCACGTTGAGTTACTACACATTGTGTCTCGAGAAAATACATTCATGCTATTGATGAGGCAACAGATGACCCGGGGGTGGCACGACTAGCCAAGGGGTGTACATCAAGTACGGCAGCATCACTCGATCGCTCGGAGTGGGTCGAACCAGCCCGATCGACCGCTCCGTATTCTCTCTTAAGCAGGGGTTCCTGGGTGGGGCTAGAACGCCGAGGCAAAACCGGAAAGACGGGCGGCTAACGGCCAGGGTGGTCGGTGCGGCATCTCAGAACCGGGGGTCAGTCAGGAAACACGTCCGCATCACTATTAGTCATTCTACAATTCACTTGCATGGATTGGAAGTTTAGACGACTTGTTTTGAGAAGGGTTCGTTGGGGCAGCGTCATAACGCCGTCCGGGTGGCGTGATGAATAACATGGTTACGACTGTAACAAGGGCTTGGAAGAGTGTTCATATTGCAATAATCATCTAGGGTGTCAAGGGGGCCATGAAGGTCTCGTCCTTCTCCTTGAGCCAGGCGGCGACCTTCGTCTCTATATGCGAAAGCCTCGCTCTCGTTCCTGGCTCTCGCTCTTGTATAGTCTGTCTCATTCGATCGGGTCTATATGGAAGCAAGTTTAGCCGATCAGGCAAACGCGGGAGCGAATCCCAGCTGAACGGGTACGGAAGGGTACGGGAACCAGCCTTGCTACTTATATAATTATGGACATAATATTGGAGTCCTGGCCCGAAGGGTTTCGGGTGCCCGAGGCCGTCCCAATCCCTCGGGTCGTCCGTGTGACAGCGACTACCTTCTAGAGCATTTGAGCTTCGGTATAAAAGAAGATGTATAATTAATTAAGCAAGGGTGTTGCGCAATATAATATTGAGTTTGTAAAAACCTAACTCTGGCCTTTTGGGCTAGGATTGTTGTTAGATTTTAATTCTACCTTTACTATAGTGAGAGCATTAGATCATTGTATTTTGATTAGTTAGTTAATATGCAAACCACTTGCCCTTGGCCCGTTGTTAAAACATAACCTAACTAAGACGGGACCACGAATATTCCTTCCTATATGACTATGATTTAGGAAATATGTATTTGTGCCTTAGGTGTTGCTTTTCTTATCTGTATGTTAAGCTGTCCGCGGCGCCACCAGGTTGATTCCTTAGACAATGTACGTTCTGACGATAACTTGAAACCTTGTCGAGTCTTCGGAAAAGATGAATAGTGGAAAGCAAAAGAATCGGCGCGATTGTAATAGCGTCTGGAAATTATCTAGATTGCTACGGTATTATATCTCTCACCACCTCATGCTGTTTTGCTTCTTAAGACGACATTGCGGCTCACTTGTATTTTAAGTGGTCGCCCATTATGCAGAGCATTCAGAACTAGAGCTGTAAGAGAACCTTAAAAGCCGTAACCAAAGGTTTCAGAGTACTCATTCGCGAGCGCTTTTGTTCATAGTTGAGTAAACCTTAAAAGTGTCCTTTCAACTGTATATAACCATTTCAAAAAGGCTAAACTGACTACGATAGAAATGAATTCATAGCCTGGTAGTCCACTTGACTTAAAGCTTTCCACAGCAAGTTTATTGGAAGACAGATTGCCATTAAGTGAGGTGTAAGGTGCCTGTTTTCAGTCACTACATCCACTTAGGAGCTCTAGTACGAAACCGCACACATCCGTGGCCCTACCGCAGCCCGGGGCGCCCGGATCAAAGGATCTAGCCAGCAATGCCGGGGTGCCTCGCAATTCTTGTTCTCTGAAGTGCGTGTCCCGTACTTAAATCGACGTCGCTCCTGACTAAACATCGTCACCCTCGCGTTCGATCTACCTAATATCGTTGCATACACCTTTTCCATACATCCGAGTCGAAGTAAAGCTACACGAAGTCGTGACGAGTTAGCTCCAGCATGTCGTGGGATCTACTAGGGGACAACTACCTTTAAAGGCCGTCCGAGGGGACAAGATACTTACCCGCTCGTCATTATTTCAACAGGCATGTAAATAACCCCGACGACAACACTCCGAAAAGGAAAAGTTGAGTCGCCCATCAAATAGTTGTGTGCAGTAAATGATTACTCCTTCCGTTGTTATTGTTGGTTGTTGTGTAGCTTTAGGAAGGTAACTCGTTCTAATTTCTGGGTGCTGTGTTAATTTGGTAATAGCATACTCTTGAAAGAATTTTACGCGCCTAACCACTACGCATAACGAGACATCTGCCGATACTTACTCACGAGAAACCCAGTTGAGAGCGCTCTACTCGTATAGTTTGAGACAAACGGAAGTAGAAACTACTGAAGGCGTATTTTCGGTGTTCTTTAATTGAAAGCAGAAAATTAGTACTCACGCAGCCAGTCGCATGTAGATTATGTACATGATAGAAAACAATTAGGACTAGAGCCGCTAAAAGAACTATTCTTTGGACCGGTAGGGATTTGAACCCTAGGCCTCTCGCAAACTCCGCCTTAGCACGTACAACAATCCAATCCGCAGCGGCCGCTTGCAAGTATTTGGTTTGGTGTGGTTACGGGAAGGGGTATGCAAAGCGAGCGCTTTACCCCTGAGCTACGGGCCCAATGAGACTGTGTAAGATGAAGTAGTATTATAGATTAAGACCGGGCGTCTGAGGGGAAACTCTAGATTGTAACCAGTACGTATATGTCGTGTTATAACCTCATCTTGTTCTTTCGCCCTTAGAAGCGGGGGCGAGGAAACGTGGCTTAGGATCAATAGTGTTGGTTGTAAGCTAAACTGGGGGCTCACGGGCCACTCCCTCACGAGCCACCCTGATTTTCATACAAACCAATAAAATTTTGAAAATTGGTTTAAAAGTGGAGAAAAACGTTAAAAATAAGCAGGTTCCAAAAAAACAAGTAAAAAGATTAAAACTATTTATAATAAAATTTTTTAAATACTATATATTTTCTTATATTTAATAATACGGTGTTATTATAAGTGTATTTTATTTTACTATTTTATTTGTTAAATTTCGAGAAATTTATTGTTTTAAACAGGGTGTAAAACTTTAATAAAAGTGGAAACCTATAAATGTTTTAATCTTTTTAAATAAAACAAGTTATAATATATTTTATTTAATTTTCTTTTTATTTATACAATTTTTGTTTAATTAGTTATTTAACATTATATTTATAATTTTAGGTAATATTTTTGGAAAGTTTACATACAAAATTTATATAGTTTACGCACTAGCCTGTTCTACATACAAATTTTGTTAAAAAAACACTATAAATAATAGTTTTATTATTTAGCTACTTTGTTATATAAAAATATAAAAAATATATTTTAATTATTTTAAAATAATTTTTATTCCGTTTTATCCAAATAAAATAAAATATTACTATGTTCTTACTTTTAATCTTTTATTAATAGCTTTTTAAATATTAAGTTCTGCTAAAATTTATACAGTACTAACAAATCTGCTAGCAAATTATATATAAATTTATTAATAGCATATTTGTTATAACTAAGTTATTTATTTTAAAAATAAAAATATATATAAACATATTTTTTAACATTTTTCAATTAATAAACATTTATTTTTTATAATTTAATTAGGTCTCCACTTACTTTTCCGAGTTTTACCCGCTTTTATATTAAATAGCCCCGCTTTTTACATTTGTATGGCAATCACGTACAGTGCAGGTGGCTCGTGAGGGAGTGGTCCGTGAGCCCCCAGTTTAGCTTAAAGTTGCCGTGTATGGCTTGATATCATAAAATGTGTAAGCTTTCATAATGTTGTAGTCGCTCCTGTACCGTTGAGGATTGCTTTCTTAATTCATAGTGGGGAGTTGAATGACATGGCTCTAGGTATTGTAATAGTTAGAGGCAGAAGTGAGTTAAGACTAACCGCTAAGTAGCAGAATGGGAAGAAAAGTTCCGGACTACGATCTAACGAGACTCTTTTGATTAGAGTAACTAACAAATGAACGAATTTTGTTCACCCGTGTGAGAAAGCCGGTAGTACTGTGACAACTAATACACTATTTCAACTCTACCAATGTAGAAGAGATATAGTCTACAGCGTATTGATGATGATTCCACGGCAAAGCGAGATGTAGCGGGTAAAAATGCCGGACGGAGAAACAGGTAGTTTGCAGCTTATACACTCACATGTATTACCATCATCCAATTACGTTGATTGTCTTCCATTCTCATGATTTAGGGGGAGATACGCCTACTTAAGAGCAATGACTTTCCAAATGTCCCATTAGCTAATGGTATGTGACCCCCTCTGTTGTAAGATCAACGCACTCTACGAAAGGCGCTAGAGCATAATCTAATGTAACGATGGGCTCATGCTCGGGTGATCTAGGTGAGATCATCACCACGATAACTGAACATAACTGTCCAGGAGCGTCGCCTTCGGAGGAACGAATATGCCGATATACTTACGACGCACATTCTGAGATTGGTTGGCCAAGCAGTATTTAACTGCTAGGTCATAAGAACCTAGCTGGGTACTTGCTCTGAACTGACTAGGAAAAAGAGAACATCCAGCATGAAGAAACTGGCAGAGCCATACCTGTGATGTGACTTCTTAGCAAAGCTCGACGTTAAAGAGACTCAAGGGACGATGAGAGCCGATAGCACAGCGAAACACGATACGCCATTACACTCTCGATTCCCAGCTGTATTTCAGACTGAGTAGCAGTTACCACGCCACGAGTAGACCCGGAGAGGAACAATACTAACACCGAGAAGGAATAAAAAATGGGGGGCACAAAGAATTGGATATGTCATGTGGTGGTATTTATTTGGTGGTGATGGTAAAGAGGAAGCTCCCGCAAGCAATCGCCGAAAACCGCGTCGACTTGTGATTCAGAGAGACAGAGAGAGCAGAACCCCATTGCCCCGAACCCAACTGATGTGAATTAATATAGTTACACGTGTTGGATGATGAAAACGCCGCATACACATTCTATAACCAACGAAGCCTCTTCCGACTTCTTCCTGTTGTATCGCACACTTTTTCCCTTCCTTTCTTCGTCTACGTCGTCCTCATACTAATTCGTCCCCTGCTCGATTCTTATACACGCAGTAGCTTGGCGGCATAGTCCTCGATGAGCTGCTCCGTGGGGAAGGCTAGGGTCTCGAGACCCGCGGCGTAGGGGGTCGGCACCTCGGCACCGGTAATACGCTGGGCGGGGGCGTCGAGGTAGTCGAAACCATACTCCATCGTCGTGGCGAGGATCTCGGCACCCATACCGGCGAAAGGGAAACCGGACTCGACCGAGATCAGGCGGCCGGTCTTCTTAACAGACTTGATGATAGACTCGACGTCGAGGGGCTTGACGGATCGTAGGTTGATCACCTCGACCTCGACACCGTACTTCTTCTTGAGGGCCTCGGCGGCGACCATGCACTGGCCGACGGTGCGGGACAGCGATACTAGGGTCAGGTCCTTGCCCTGGCGCTCGATCTTGGCCTTGCCGAAGGGAATGACGAAGTCGTCCTTCTGGGCGGCCTCGGACATGGGAAAGGAGACACCGTACATCAGCTCGTTCTCGAGGAAGACGACGGGGTTGGGATCACGGATGGCGGCCTTCAGCAGGCCCTTGGCATCCTCGGCGGACCAGGGGGAGACGACCTTGAGACCAGGGATGGAGCCGTACCAGGCGCTGTAGTCCTGGGAATGTTGGGCGGCGACACCGGAGGCGAAGCCGTTGGGGCCACGGAAGGTGATGTTGCAAGGCTGGATACCACCGGACATGTAAAGGGTCTTGGCGGCGCTGTTGACGACCTGGTCAATGGCCTGCATGGCGAAGTTGAAGGTCATGAACTCGCACTGCGCAGCGTGGTAGAACGAAGTTAGTGTATGATGGTCTTGGCCGTATGTATATCAACCTCCGCAAAGTTCGCATATCAGAAGCGGTGGATCGAAAAAGGTGGTAGATCAGCTTACGATAGGAGCCAGTCCGCTCAACGCAGCACCGACGGCTAGACCACAGAAACCACTCTCGGTGATGGGGGTGTCGATGACTCTCTTGTCGCCGAACCGATCCAGCAGACCCTTTGTGACCTTGTAGGCACCGTTATACTGGGCGACCTCCTCACCCAGGATGAAGACCTTCTCATTCTGCTCCAACTCCTCGGCCATGGCTTCATTCAGGGCCTCGCGCACCGTGTACTCTTTGACTCCCTTAGCATCGGCAAAGGTCCTCCGCTGCGACAGGGCGAAGGATGCGGGTGAGGCGAATCGGGGCAGGGCTCGCGGGGCGGCGGTCGCGAGGCGGGCAGAGGCGGCTAACCTCGTGGCCGGACGGAGATAGCGCGACATGGTGGGATCGGCGAAGACGGACGGGACGCGAGACAAGATGAGACGAGGGGGGGAAATGAATTGAAGGGAAGAAGGGGAATGTGAAGAATAGAAGCAGCGGTCCGGTCCGTCGACGGGTGACGGGGCGTTGGGTTGGAGGGTTAATGGGGGTCGGAGAGGATAGGAAGACGGAAGGTTGACGAGGAAGAAGGGATTATGAGAGTGATTTTTTGGATTAGCGATTACTAGCTTAGCTCGCTCACTGTCAGCTTTTTGGGACTTCACCGAGCGTTGTCGCGCTGCTGTCCCAACTTTTTTCTTTCCTGTCAAACCAAGCGTTTAGTTAGCTTGTTGGGCTTAGTATCTTCTCCGCTAGGCCTATAATGGCTTAGGTCTCCCCCTTTCGGGCAAAGCGCCCCAGTATCCTTATCACCTTCCCTGCCATCCAGGGCCCTCTTCCTACATCGGAACCTAATTGAATACCGCCGGTGCTACCCCGAATACAGGTCTTCAAACCCCTACACTGGCAGTAACCTGCCTGCCGAACTATTCTATCTTCCCCAATGTACCAATTGAGTTCCTATTTCTCATGTATAATGAAAGCGAAGCGATTTGAAAGAGTATAATGACAATAAAGGGGTTCGATTAATTAGTGAATCTGTCGCAAAGTCGTTCACTTCCTGGTTGTCTATACTCTTTTTACCTCCGCTTATACACTATATTCAACGGAATCGCTTCCAGGGCACCGGACCCGCTTCCTCCGTTGGGGACGCTCCGACGATTGAGTAAGCATGTCAGCAACATGATACGCACACACGCATCAAAGAATTGGTCAATTGTCACATATTGTTTAGAAACATATATTGAAAAAATCATCTTGCAAATGCTAGTATAATTCGTCTAGGTAACTCCACGACACATAGTATTCATTCGCTCGTTTCTCGACGCGAGTGTATGCTACTTTTATTCCAGATGGCGCTTCTCATCTGCTGTAGGCGGTCAACTCAATATAGCGAAGATCGAATGCTCACGCTTCACTTGCCTTGCATTGGACTTGCCTTACAATGCCTTGGCCCGCCGCTTGACCATTAAATATTATGTAGACGGGTATTTCGAGGCCGTGGCTATGCCCCACCACGCCGGCTCGGGGATCCCCCATTCTATATAATTCCCTCTTTTATTCTGGCTTGTCCCGTCATCATCATCGTCATCACGTCTCATCTCATTGCTCGTGCTTCTTGCCCACCATCAGGTACATGGGTGTGAAGAGGTGCTTCTCGGCACCGGCCACGAGGCAG